GAGAGAGAAACATCGACCAGCTGCCTCTTGCACACCCCCCACCGGGGATGTGCCCGCAACCAAGGTACATGCCCTTGACCGGAATTGAACCTGGGACCTTTCAGTCCGCAGACCGACACTCTACCACTGAGCCAAACCGGATTCGGCTGTTGTTATAATCTTCATGTGAGGATATTTTTTCATTGATTTAGAGAGACTGGGAGGGGAGAGACATAGAGAAACATAGATTTACGAGGGACACATTCATTGGTTGCCTCCCACACTCACCTGACAGGGGCTCAGAATGGAGCCTGCTATCAAGGTATGTGCCCTGAACCAGGATGGAACCCGAGATCCTACAGTCCATGGGTATATGCTCTAACCACTGAGAAAACTGGCTAGGACTCTATGAGAGTTTTAATTTTTTCCACCTCCTATGTCCTCATTCTTTGTTTCCACAACTGCAAAATGCCCACCACATTCAGTTATAAACACACTAACCAATTAGACTAAGAGGTCAAATAGAACAAATGTGGCTTTAGTAGAGCTTAGAGAAGGCCTTTGTCTTTTATGCCGCTTCCACTCTTGTTTACAGACTTTCCTAAATTCTCAACCCATTGAAATGACTATATGAGACATGTTGGATGTACTTCTGGTGTAACTTTTTCAGAAAGGCCCAGGTTGACTGCCAACTCTGATTTTCTCTGTATAGTAATATATCTATTACAGTGGAATTCCTTCTCCATCTCCAACCTTTGATGATCTGTGTAAACCACATGATATTTTTCTTTTGTCCTAGTTTTCCCTAATTTCAGAAAAAGCAGTGCATTTGATCATATTTTACTTCTTTGGAGATTGTTTTGTTTGAAGCAGTAGTCGTCAAACTGTGGCTTGCGAGCCACATGTGGCTCTTTGGCCCCTTGAGTGTGGCCCTTCCACAAAATACCATGTGTGGGCACGCACGTACAATGCAATTGAAACATCGTGGCCCATGCACAGAAGTTGGTTTTTGGCTCTCAAGAGAAATTTCAATCATTGTACTGTTGATATTTGTCTCTGTTGACTAATAAGTTTGCTGACCAATGGTTTGAAGGAATCATCGCCTCTGTTCCTATAATCATCTATTACTTTTACATATAAACCAAGTGTATTTTTGAACCAAATAAGTCATAAGTCCATTTCTCCATTAAATACTTTGTAATCTGTATCTCTTACATACACACACACACACACACACACACACACACACACATTTGACACACCTATCACACCACCATTTACTTACTGCTAGACTAAAGCATTTTAAAGCAAAAACATATCTGTCATTTTTATTCTCTTCCCACTCACATATGGGAACAGCATTGGCATTAGTAGCAGCATCCATTATACATGCACTTCCCTTTATATTTTATGGAGTTCATTATACTGTTTTCTAGTTAACCTCTTACCTATTGCTTTCAAATTATGCAGACTGTGTCTTATACCCATTTCACAGATAAGGAACCCAAGGCATAGTGTAGGTAAGTGGCTTTGTGCTAGTGAGCTGAGGAGTGGGGACCCAAACACTTATTTTTGATTGCCAGTTTAGTGTGCTAAATGCTATTCCAAGTTTTAAAATGTTGAGAAACACAAGAATGCTCCAAGTATGGCAAATTTTTGTGATCCTGACATTATTAGTTAAATACATTGTACTTACATATACATTCTAGAGAGAATTTTGTTTATATAGTAATTAAAGCAGCATTTATTGTCATTTAGATTTTGTTCTAGGATAGCCCTTATTACCTGTTAGAAAAATAGTTTAGTTTTTTTAATATCGAAATCTTAAACCAATTTTTATTTCCCAGTGGATAATGAATGAATTTAAGAAGGGATGTTGACTTAAGCAGAGTAAAATGAGTATTGTAGTAGTCTTTGGAAGGATATATAAACATTTGCTTTGTGTTACAAGATTCAACATACTTTCTCATGCCCTTCTTCAAATAGAGTTTTATTCATACTTTCAAATTTTCCAAAGGTAATTGGGAAGTTTCACTTTCTTTTCAATTTTTCTAAACCCTTCCTGAATCTTCCTCCTTTTCTCTATGGCTTTTAGCAAACCTCTTCTTATTTTCTCTCATTGATCTGAAGTTTCAGGGATCAATCTGTAAGACAAGTTTCTTTAAAGTGGTTCCCTAACTCCATTGAGGCGTTAAAATGCAGCACCAGCCTAATTAAGGAGCTACATGGCATCAGACTCCATCTTGAACCATATTTACATTTAGGAACACCTGCCACTTGGTTTGGAATTTACAATCCTAAACAAATGTCAGACACCCTTTCTTCCCACAAGAGAAAAAAAAAGATGGGGGGGGGGACATTAATGTAGAAACAAATTCTAGATGAGAGATATACTTTAGGATTAAGCCAAAGGGCTGATAACTCATTGAGTAATGAACTAAACAAAATGTTTCCCCTTGAAAATGGAAAATGATGATCCCTGGTCAGTTAACCTACCTTAAAGGCTCAAACTTTGAGCTGGTTTTAAAAATCCAAACAGAAACCCAGGAAACCAGAGGTCTGGCATTCAGTATGTTACGAAGACACAGTGTATAGTTGTGGTCACAATGAAGATTTTGAGGTTTATTTCTCAAACCTCAAATTGTAGGATCTGAATACATCTTGGAAAAGATGTTTCCTAAAACCCTTCCTAATCCCCAAATGGCTGAATACATGCTGGAAACCCTGATTCTCAGCATGCACACCAAGTGCCAGTGACTCTGATACTCAGTGTGTGCTCAGGGATCCTGATTCTCGGAGTGTGCACGAGACTACACTGAGTGCTAAAGACTCCAATTCTCAATTCTCAGCACGAGCACACAGAGACTCTGATTCCTGGTGCACTCTTGGGGACTCTGATTTTCAGTGCAATCACGTGGGGACTCGGTTTCTCAAAGTATGCACTAGACTGCACTGAGTGCCTGTGACACTAATTCTCAGTGCAGGCATGCAGGGACTCATTCTCAGTGCACGAGGCTCTGACGGACCCACAGCAGCCACATGTCTTGGTCTCTGAGCTCTTCAGTGATCCTCTGGTGGTGCAACACTCCCACCGCACATGGCTCAGGCCTCCACAACTCGCTGCTTGGACATTTTGGTGATAACTAGAATGGGAAAACAACAAAACAATTCCCAAAAAGGGGGTGGGGTGGGGGAAATCACCAAGAAAGGAACAGAGGCATGCAATATGTCAGAAAAGACTCAGAGTAATGGTCATATAATACATTTCATAAATTGGATGGACAAGAAAATCAGAAAGAAAACAAAATAAAAAATGCTACAATAAAAATGAAGTGGAAGGTTTGTGCATTAGACCAGGAGAAGTGGAGGTCCAAATTAATGAGTTAGAAGATAAGGTAGAGAAACAAGCCCAATCTGAACAACTGGAGAGAAAAAATTAAAAAGCAGGAGTAGAGCCTAAGGGAGCTTTGGTACAGCTTGAAACGAAGTAACATATGTATAATAGGGGTGCCAGAAGGACAAGAAGAGCATCAAGGATTAAAGAATCTATTTGAAGAAATAATGACAGAACACTTCCCTGATATGGGAAAGAAAAATTCACACAACTACAGAAAGTCCCAAGCAAAACAAACCCCAAAAGACTCAAACCAAGACAAGTCATAATTACAATGACAAACGTTAACAACAAAGAGAGAATCTTAAAGGCTGCAAGAGAGAGACAGAGAGTTACCTGCAAAGGATCCCCCATCAGATTATCAAATGGTTTCTTAACAGAAACACGTCAAGCCAGAAAGGAATGGAATGAAGTATACAAAATGATGCAAATCAAAGGACTGAATCCAAGAATACTCCATTAAACAAGGCTATCAATCAAAATTGAAGGGGAAATCAGGAGCTTCATAGACAAAAAAAGACTAAGGGAGTTTATCACGACCAAGCCAGAAATGGAAGAAATGCTAAAGGGAATGCTGTAAAAAGAAGAAATAGAAAGGGTAGAAGGAACACAGGCATAAAGAATAGAAATGGCTACAAACAAGTACATATCAATAATAACATTAAACATAAATGGATTAAATACTCCAATCGAAAGGCACAGAATTACTAAATGCATAAGAAAACATGACCCAGGCTGTTGAAACCATATCCACCTCCAGTGCAGGCCACTTGACTTTGCCGCTCTTCCACCTTTGCTGATGCTCACCGCCTCCTACTCACCATGGATGACGATATTGCTGTGTTCATGGTTGACAATGGCTTTAGCATGTGCAAAGCCAGCTTCGTGGTGGACAATGCCTCCAAAGCCATCTTTCTTCTCCATCATGGGGTGTCCCTGGTACCAGGGCATGATAGTGGGCATGGGCCAGAAGGACTCCTATGTGGGTGATGAGGTCCAGAGCAATAGAGGCATCCTAACCCTGAAGTACCCCATCAAGCACAGCATTGTCACCAACTGAGAGGACATGGAGAAGATCTGGCATTACACTTTCTACAACAAGCTTCATGTAGCCCTCGAGGAGCAACCTGAACTGCTCACTGAAGCCCCTCTGAACCCTAAGGCTAACTGTGAGACGATGCCTCAGATCATGTTTGAGACCTTCAATACCTCAGCCATGTATGTGGCCATCCCAGCAGTGCTGTCCTTATACACCTCTGGCTGTACCACTGGCATTGTGATGGACTCGTTTTGGAGTCACCCACACTGTGCCCATCTAAGAGGGTTATGCCCTCCCACACACCATCCTGTGTCTTGACCTGGCTGGTTGGGACCTGACAGACTACCTCATGAAGATCTTCATGGAGCATGGCTACAGCTTCCCCACCACAACTGAGCAGGAAATCATGCATGGCATCAAGGAGAAGCTATACTATGTCACCCTGAACTTTGAGCAGGAGATGGCCACTGCAGCTTCCAGCTCCACCCTGGAGAAGAGGTAAGAGCTCCCTGACAGTCAGGTCATCACCATCGGCAATGAGGAGACTTCCGCTGCCCTGAGGCCCTTTTCCAGCCCTCCTTCCTGGGCATGGAATCCTGTGGCATCCATGAAACTACCTTTAACTCCATCATGAAGTGTGATGTTGACATCCATAAGGACTTATACACCAACATGGTGCTGTCTGGTGGAACTACCATGTACTCAGGCATCACTGACAGGATGCAGAAAAAGATCACCACCCTGGCTTCCAGCACAATGAAGATCAAGATCATTGCACCCCCTGAGCGCAAGTACTCTGTGTGGATGGGCAGCTCCATCCTGTCCTCACTGTCCACCTTCCAGCAGATGTGGATTAGCAATCGGGAGTATGATGAGTCCAGCCCCTCCATTATCCACAACAAATGCTTCTAGGTAGACTGTTACTTAGTTGGTTACACCCTTTCTAGACAAAACCTAACTTGCATAGAAAACGAGATGAAATTAGCATGGTTTTGTTTTATTTGTGTGGTTTTTTGTTGTTGTTTGTTTTTTGATTTTTTTTTTTTTTTTTTTTTGCACTTGACTCAGGATTTAAAAACTGGAACAGTGAAGGTGTGAGCATTCCCAAAATTCTGCAATGTGGCTGAGGAGCTTGATTATACATTGTTCTTTTAAAAAAATAATCATTCCAAATATGAGAGATACTTTGTTACAGGAAGTCCCTTGCCTGCCCCAAAGTTGCCCACTTCTCCTTAAGAATGGCCAATCCTCACCCAAGTCCACATGGGGAGGATGATAGCATTGCTTTTGTGTAAATTATGTAATCCATTTTTAAGAAATAAAAACCTTTACTTTATAGCAATCTGAGACAACAACCTTCCGATACAACAATTTGTATATAGCACATGGCTTATTACAGGTAGTGTATTAAACTTTGAAAACAATTTATAAATACCAATAAATGAAATGTGAAACATCCAGAGTGTCTTTGGCAGTTACAGAGAATTATCACATTTGCCCTATGTCTCTGACTGGATATGTGCTATTTCTAAAAGTTACCTGTTTGAACTTGGCTCTGAATGTGTGTACATTCTTTCTGAAGAAGACTAAAACCTCTAGTAATCCAAATTTTTAATCGTCACCTTAATACTTCTTTTTGTTTGATTTTGAATGGCCAGCCATCAGGGCCCCCTTTTTTTTGTCCCCAACTTGAGATGTATGAAGGGCTTTTGGTGCCTCTGGGAGTGGGTTGAGGTGTGAAGGCAGCCAAGCCAGGGCTTACCTGTACACTGATGTGAGGCCAGTTTAATAAAATGCACACCTTAAAGAGAGAGAGAGAGAGAAAAAAGAAAACGTGGCCCAAATATATGATGTCTACAAGAGACCCACCTCAGAACAAGGGACTCATACTGACTAAAAGTGAAGGGATGGAAAAATATCTTTCAGGCTAATATAAAAGAAAAAAGAAGAAAAAAAATCTATGGGACACAGTAAAAAAGGCTGGGGTAGCAATACTTATATCTCACAAAATAGACCTCAAAGTGAAGTCCATAACAAGAGACAAGAAAGGCCATATCATAATTCTAAAGGGATTGCTACAACAATAGGATATAACTCTGGTAAACATATATGCACCCAATGCAGAAGCACCCAAATACATTAAAAAAGAAAAAAGAAAAAAAAACTTTTGGAAGATATAAGGGGAGAGATTGACAGCAATGCAATCATAGTAGGAGACTTCAATACCCTAATAACACCATTGGATAAATCCTCTAGACAAAAATCAGCAAATAAATAACAATTCTAAGCAACTTACCAGATCAGATAGACTTAATCGACACCTTCTGAACATTCCACCCCAAAGCTACAGAGTATACATTCTTCTTCAGTACGCATGGGATATTTTTAAAGATAGACCACATATTGGGCCACAAGCAAAGTCTCTCCAAATTCAAGAAGATTGAAATCATATCAAGCATTTTCTCAGATCACAATGGCATAATATTAGAAATAAACTACAGTAAAAACAATCACAAAAGTTCAAACACTTGGAGGCTGAATAGCAGGCTAGTAAACAATGATTGGGTTACCAAAGAGATCAAAGAAGAAATAAAAAACATACTGGAAACAAATGAAAATGAAAACACAACAATCCAAAATCTATGGGACACAGTAAAAGCAGTCATGAGAGGGAAGTTCTACCTCAACCCCTCCCCCCAAACCCTCCCCCCCAAAAAACAAAACAAAACAAAAAAAATGAGAAAACTCTGCAACTTGAAGAAGAATTAGAAAGAGAGCAACAAGGAAAATTCCAGAGTGAGCAGAAGAAAGGAAATAATAAAGATCAGAGTGTAGATAAACAACATAGAGACCAAAATAAATAAATAAGTAAAATACAAAAGATCAATGAAACCAAGAGCTGGTTCTTTGAAAGGATAAAAAACATTGGTGAACCTCTAGCCAGGCTCACGAAGATACAAACAGAGAGGACCCATATAAACAAAATCAGAAATGAAAGAGGTGAAATAACAACAGACCCCACCGAAATACAAAGGATTGTTAAAAAATACTATGAATAACTATTCCAACAAACTGGACAACCTGGAGGAAATGGACATATTCCTAGAAAAATATAACCTTCCAAAACTCAATCAGGAAGAATCTAAACAGCTCAATAGGCCAGTAACTATGGAAGAAATTGAAGCAGCCATCAAAAAGTTTCTGGCAAACAAAACCCCGGACCAGACGGCTTCACATATTTACCAAATATTCAAGGAAGAACTAAAACCTATCCTCCTCAGACTATTCAAAAAATTCAAGAGGAAGGAAAATTCCCAAGCTCCTTCTATGAAGCCAGCAACATTCTAATACCAAAAGCAGATAAAGACAACACAATGAGAATTACAGGCCAATATCTCTCATGAACATAGATGCCAAAATCCTCAACAAAATTCTAGCAAATTGGCTCTAGCAGTACATCAGAAAGATCATACACCATGACCAAGTAGGATTTATCCCGGGGATGCAAGGATGGTACAATATCCGCAAATCAATAAACATGATACATAAACAAATTGAGAGATAAATATCACATAGTCATATCAATTGATGCAGAAAAAGCATTTGATAAATACAACACCCTTTCCTGATAAAAACTTTCAACAAGGTGGTAATAGAAGATTCATACCTCAACATAATAAAAGCTATATATGATAAACCCACAGCCAACATCATACTTAATGGGCAAAAACTAAAACCATTTCCTCTAAGAACAGGAACAAGACAAAGATGCCAACTCTCATCACTCCTGTTTGACATAGTACTGGAAGTATTAGCCATTGCAATTAGACTAGAAGAAGAAAAATAAAAGGCATCCAAATTGGAAAATAAGTAAAACTGCCTTTATTTGGAGATGACATGATATTGTACATAAAAAAAACCCAAAGACTCCATCAAAAAACTAATAGACTTAATAAATGAATTTGGCAATGTAGCAGGATACAAAATTAACACCAAGAAATCTATGGCATTTCTATACACCAATAGTGAACTTATAGAAACAGAGACTAAAAAAGCTATCCCATTTATGATTCTACCAAAAAAATTAAGATACCTAGGAATAAACTTAACTAAGGAGGTAAAAGACCTATACTTGGAAAACTACAGAACACTGAAAAAACTGATAGAGGAAGATGTAAACGGATAGAAGAACATACCATGTTCTTGGATTGGTAGAATCAATATCATTAAAATGCCCATACTACCCAAAGCAATCTATAGATTCAATGCACTCCCCATTAAAATACCAATGGCATATTTCACAGACCTAGAAAGAACTCTCTAAAAATTCGACCCTGAATAGCCATAGCAATCCTGAAAAATAAGAATATAGTAAAGAAGAATACAGATTTCAAGCTGTATTACAAAGCCACTGTTTTCAAAACAGCCTGGTACTGGCACAAGAACAGACATATAGATCAATGGAATAGAATAGAGAATCCAGATATCTACCCAAACCACTTTGCTCAGTTAATATTTGACAAAAGAGGAATGAATATACAATGGAGTCATGACAGTCTCTTCAATAAATAGTGTTGGGAAAATTGGACAGATACATGCAAAAGAATGAAACTAGATCACCAACTTACACCATACACAAAAATAAACTCACAAATTATTTGAGAGATGCAAATCACAACAACAATGTGTACCATCCCACACCTGTCAGAATGGCTATCATCAACAAATCAACAAATGACAAGTGTTGGCGAGGATGCGATGAAAAAGGAACGCTCATGCACTGCTGGTAGGAATGCAGACTGGTGCAGCTTCTGTGGAGAACAGTATGGAGTTTCCTCAAAAAACTGAAAATGGAAGTCCCGCTTGACCCAGTAATCCCACTCTTAGGAATATACCCTAAGAAACTAGAAACACCAATCGAAAAGTATATATGCACCCCTATGTTCATAGCTGCACAATTCACCATAACTAAGATTTGGAAACAGCCTAAATGCCCATCAGTAGATGATTGGATCAGAAAATTATGATACATCTACACAATGGAATACTATGTTGTCATAAAAAGGAAGGAATTCTTACCATTTGCAATGACCTGGATGGAATTGGAGAATATTATGCTACATGAAATAAGCCAGACAATGAAAGAAAAATACCACACGATCTTACTTATTTATGGGTAATAAGGAACATTATAAGCCAATGAACAAAAAGATAGATACAGAGATAGTAAAGCATCAAACAGACTGTCCAATCACAGCAGGAAGGTTAGGGAGAGGTGGGGGAGATAAGAGATCAAATGAAGGACTTGTATGCATGCATATAAGCATAACCAATGGACGCACAATTCTGGGGGGTTAGGGCATGTAATGGAGTGGGTTGGGGAGGGCAATGGTAAAATATGTACACATATTAATACTTTAATAAAAAATGAAAAAAACGACATCTTTATTTTTGGACGTATTACATACCCGCAGCATTGAACCCTTCTAGCCTGCTCCGCCCTCTACTCTATGTCTTCACTACCCTATTGGAATATGTTAATAAGAGAAAAAAGTTTGAGTCTATCCAGTTTTATTTTTTAAAACCCCAGCCTAAACACAACACATTTGTAAACAACTTAGACTAAAAAGACCAAAATGCATATGTTGGTTCTCTCAGGATTGAGATTGCTAGTGATTTCTGATATACTCTAAATTTTTCCCTCATTTTCCAAATTAAAAAATTAGCATATATTGGATTAATTATCAGAAAATTACAAACAATGTTGCAACACAAAGGGGCCACATGTTAACCTGACTAGCTCAGGGAAGGCCTGCATGGCACTCTTGCAGACTCAGAATTCTAAAGTAACCACAAAGGATGGTCTGAAACTATAAATTTTTTTAACTAAAAAAAGTGGGTAGTCATGTCTTAGGCTGGTATCTTCCTGACAAAGGTCAATCTTTACCTTAACCGAGCCTGTCTGTTGTCTTTTTGCATCTACAATAACATATAGTTGGAATGTCAAAAGTAATTTTCCTTTTTCTGGACCCCTCAAAGCACAGGCACTGCTCTTTAGAGACCACAAATCCCCTCATTGTTATTGAGTTAATTGCAGAATGCTAACTATCCTGCACCCACCTAAGTTAAAGAAGTATGATCTATCATTTTACTTTTTACCCAATCACAGAGATTTCCCTGCTTTGCTTTCTCCCACCTCCCTAATCTATCCCTAATGGATTTCTCATAATCTCCTTACTCTCCTCTTTTGATGTAGAAAACAAGGTGCAAAACTGCTATTTTCTGGAGCATTATCTCAATCTGTTAAGATTCTGCTTTCCGGAATTTGTTTACACTTTGCTCAAATAAACTCACAAAAATTCTTCACAGGTTTGAATGTTTCTTACATTAACAAGAACCAGAAAAAAAACAACAACTTGGAATGCAGGGGACTCATAACAATCAGAATGTCACATGAGCCTGAAATTTGAATTTTGTAAATACTCTAACAGAGATAAAATAATTTAAAACGGAAAATTTACCCACATAATAAAAGTATCTGTAAAGATATACAATAATATCTAAACAGTATTTCTCCCTGCAATAGTAACACAATGCAAATTATCATTTAAATCTGGAAAGAAAATGATTAAAATGTTAAAAATTGTTTAATCAATAATCAGCCTTAGATATATGAAAAAAAATAAGCATCACCAATGATTCCTACCCAGAGGAAATTTTGTAATAACTGCATTGGATTCTATTGTAGAAATACTCTACATATATTTAAGCATGCCTTTAATGTTGAAATTTAGATTATTTTGAATAACTCAAAAGTGTCAACCAAATGTTATGATACTTACTTCATATTTGAGCCCATTTTAAAAAAAATATTTTTTATTGATTTTTTACAGAGAGGAAGGGAGAGAGATAGAAAGCTAGAAACATCGATCAGCTGCCTCTTGCACACCCCCTATGGGGGATGTGCCCCCAACCAAGGTACAGGCACTTGACCGGAATTGAACCCGGGACCTCTCAGTCTCCAGACTGAGGCTCTTCCACTGAGCCAAACTGGTTTCAGCTTGAGCCCTTCTTTTTAAAATTCCTTAGAGCTCGAAGCCAGCAACAGTTAAGAGGAAGTAGCAAGTCAGTATTAGGACTGGGCTACTGATAAGCCAGGCAACTGGTTTATAGTCTTCACTTTTAAAATTTAATTATGTATATTTATTTTTATTGTTCATGTCTTCATTGTGTTCATGTAACATACAGTTGGATACAGCACTTTAACTCTTAATCACAGGATCTTTCACTCTAAACACACACACACACACACACACACACACACACACACACACACCCTTAGCCTGCCATTTACTCAGAGAAAATTTTCTAGAATTTCCCAATCTAAATTACTGCTCACTAATCATAAAGTTTGTGGAAAATACAGAAAAACATACTATAGGATATTTTAATAACTGGCAGCTACACCAACCTGAGACCAGCATTGTTAAATTTTTAGTGTTTTCTTTCTAGCCTCTCCTTATAAGCTCCTCCACCACCCACTATTCCTCTTTCCAGAGCCCAGGGCTAAAATCAGAGGGATAGAGTTAGGATGGACGGATGTCTTGTTCTCTCTCCTGGTCCAACATTTTATTTATTTATTTGTTTGTTTGTTTGTTTGTTTATATTTGTATTTATATTTATATGCTACTTTTATTTCTGTAAGTAATTTTCTATTTTTTAATTGAATTTATTGGGGTGACATTGGCTCACAAAACCATACTGGTTTCAAGTATACAACTCAACAAAACATCATCCTCACACTGCATCTGTGCCCATTGCCTCAAGCAAAATCTCTTTTCCGTCCCCGTTCCTCCCATCTTTGCTCACATCCACAGAACTCCCACCCCTTTTCCCTCTGGGTACTACCACACTGTTGTATGTGTCCTTTTTTTGCTTAATTCCTTCACCTTCTTTTAGTTACAATTTTCTCTTCACTCTTTTGAAATTATAAAAGTATATACCAGTTGAAAATTGAAATGCTAAACTAATACAATATAGGTTTCCAGAAAATTCGGGGAGAGGGGCTGTTGGAGGATGGGGAGGTGGTAAATGAATCAGCCATATTCTCAAAAGGTGAGTGGAATTAGAAACTTGATAGATCTAATAATTTATTGGCTCAGGGTTTGTCAGTTACGACAGCCCAGCAAATGAGATTAGAGCAGAGTTGTGCGGGGGAGGGAGGGAGTGACGCAGCTAGCTACTGGCATCAAGAAAATATAGTGAAGAGACAGCTGCGTTACCATATCGCGGTAGCATTGTTGTTGCTGTTTGTTTGGTTTGGTTTTTTAACTGGCTGCTGTTTGCGGAGGTCTACCCACTGCGACACTCTGAATCTCTAGCGGGGTCTTGCAGGACGGTTCACGTCGCCATCTCTCCATCCTCTGCAGCCAAGCCCAGACCATCGCTGCCTCGGTTCAGTTCTCAAGGCTCAGCACCGCCTTCATCCCTGCTGCAATCCCAACCATCGCTGTCACAGTCTGCCCGCTACCGCTAGTGCCACCTCTGCAACAGGCATCGCTGCTTCTGATTTTCGGTGAGTCTTTCCCTGCGGAGGTCAGATCTCCTGATCTTGGAAGTAGCCGCATTAGACGTGTACGGTCCTTTGAAAAATGGCCGAATCAGCCGACAGAAAGGAATTGTTAATATCCACCCAAGAAGAGGCTGATAAAGAGGTGATGGTGGAGGGGCCTGAGAAACAGCCAGAGCACGGTGAAAGTGCCGCAGCTGGGCCTGGAAATGATGGAGAGTGCGGTGAAGAAGCCGCCTCTAGTCCTGGGGAAGAAGGGGGGAAATGTGAAAATGCTGCTGGGTCTGGGGAAGACGGGGCAAAAGGTGAAATTACTGATGAGGACTCAGACCCAGACCGTCCAAAAGGACTTATTGGTTATCTTTTAGACACAGACTTTGTTGAAAGCCTACCTATGAAGGTTAAGTACCGTGTGTTAGCCCTCAAAAAGCTTCAATCTAGAGTGGCAAATCTAGAATCCAAATTCTTGAGGGATTTTCATGACATTGAGAGAAAGTTTGCTGAAATGTATCAGCCCTTGTTGGAAAAAAGACGTCAGATTATCAATGCAATCTATGAACCTACAAAAGAGGAATGTGAATATAAATCAGACTATGAGGACTATGATGATGATGATATGTATGATGAGGAAGAGATGTATGGAAATGAAGATGGTATGGTATATGAGTATATGGATGAGGGCTATGAGGAAGATTATTATGATTATGCTATTGTGGAGGATGATGACAACAATGCCGCAGCTGCTGCTGACATTGAGGCTGCTGGGGAGAATAATGAAGATCCTCAAGGAATTCCTGATTTTTGGCTGACTGTCTTAAAAAATGTTGACACACTCACTCCTTTGATTAAAAAATATGATGAGCCTATTCTGAAACTCCTGACAGATATTAAAGTGAAGTTTTCAGATCCTGGTGAGCCTCTCAGTTTCACACTGGAATTTCACTTCAAACCCAATGAATATTTCAAAAATGAGCTGTTGACAAAGACCTATGTGCTGAAGTCAAGACTGGCATATTATGACCCCCATCCCTATAGGGGAACTGCGATTGAATATTGCACAGGCTGTGAAATTGATTGGAATGAAGGAAAGAACGTCACTTTGAAAACCATCAAGAAGAAGCAGAGACATCGGATCTGGGGAACATTCCGAATTGTGACTGAAGATTTTCCCAACGATTCATTCTTCAATTTCTTTACTCCTTACGGAATCAGCTCAAATGGAAATGATGATTTTTTACTTGGTCATAATTTACGTACTTACATAATCCCAAGATCAGTTTTATTTTTCTCAGGTGATGTACTTGAACCTCAGCAGGAGGGAGTAATTAAGGAAGTTAATGATGCAATTTATGACAAAATTATTTATGATAGTTGGATGGCTGCAATTGAGGAGGTTACAACCTGTTGGAAAAATATTCAGGCGATGGTCGAAGACATTGACCGCTAAGGCAGATCAGCATGGCCCTGAAATTAACAGCCTTAGATTTAGTTACTCAAAATAAAAATAAAAAGTTAATTAGTCTTGCGTTCTGAATTTTTCTTAGAGTATTAAAGCATATGTCAGAAGTTCAAATACTAATTCATTTGATCTTGCATTTTAATGATAGAATGCTTTCAAGTAATGTATATGGTGGTAAATGTTTTAAGATATTAAAATAGTGTGATGTATTTTAATCCGTCTGAAGTCCTCTTGTCAAGTAGCTATCAATTTGTTGATGTGAATATTATCCAGACTGCTAAATGAGACCCATTTTTTTTTTTTTTTTTTGCTGTTGTTGTTTGGGTAATTTTATTTTCTTGGTCCTTTAGCTAGTGAGTTTAATGTTGTCATGCTTGCTCTATTTTGCAATAAAAATGCAGTAGAATTTAAAACTTGAATGCTTAAGAAGAAGCCTGCATATGGTTAAGAATTTCAGGCCAAGTCAAATTTATTGTTAATGACAGCTTGTTCATATGCTCTTATGTAATCATAATAAATAATGAAACTTAGTAATACTGAGGTTATTGTTTATCAGTGAAATGTTAATCACAGTACTTTTAAAAGTTTGACACATTGTACTCTGTAATTGTGTAAACTGTAATTACAGTGTGTAATATTTTTCCTATACAACATTTAATCATTCATTGAAAGTGATCATTTTACCATTTTGAAAAGACTTCATGTTCTTTCACTGCAAAATAAAATGAATAAAAATTTCAGTGTATTATGTTTTAAAACTGATATTTTTTCTGGTTATAAAAGTAATATGTTCATTGGTGAACATTTGGAAAATACAACAAATTATTAATTAAAATACTGGTGGGAGGAAGAGATCAGCCAAAGAACTTGTATGCATAGATGCATAATCTATAGACACAGACAATAGGGTTGTGAAAGCCTGAGGTGGGAGGGAGCAGGGCGAGGCTAAAAGGGTTCAATGGAGAGGGACATATGTAATATTTTCAACAATAAAAAAGCCAAACCCCCGGGGGGGAAAAAGCCCTAAAATTCATATTCCCATTCCTTAAAGATAGGCACTGTTAATATTTTGATTTATTTTTTTCTATTATTTTCCCTGAGTACATATACATGCAAATTTACTAACACTATACTTAGATATGCAAAGACAGTATAACTTTTTTATTGTTTATAACTGATCTAGTATTTTTAAACATTTTTCTGTTGTTGTTAATCCGTACTAGAGGATGTTTTCCCATAGATTTTTTTTAGAGAGATGGAGGGAGGGAGGGATGGAAGGAGAGAGGAGGTAGGAGATGAGAGAGACACATTAATTGGCATTAGTTGCCTCAACCAAGGCCAGGGATTGAATCTACAACCTAGGTACCTGCCCTTGACCCTTTGGTGAGCTGGTTGACACTCTAGCTAATGAGCACACCAGTCAGGACATAATATATATAGTCTTAATCCTGAGACTACCTCTACTGCCCAGGTTTTTAAGAAAACAAAAATCTCAAATTTAACCAATTTAGTAAACTCATTGCTATTTAGTAGTTTAAATAGTCTGTATAAAACAACAAGTCTTTGTGTGTTAGTCAATATTTCAGGTTTACCTACCCTTCCTGGATATATAGAGGCTTATATTGCTTTATGGCTTGGGTGGGGAGCATACACTGAGGGGACAGTGTGATGTTATTGGTCAGAGAGCTGACTTCCTTTTAGAGCCTACTTTGCCTTCTTCAGGTATGGAAACCCAGAGTTTGGCTTTCCCTTTTGGCAGACTCTATGAAAGTCACATATATCCCACCAGGACAACAGAGAACGTGTGTGTGTGTGTGTGTGTGTGTGTGTGTGTGATTATTAATTTCTTTTCCCTTTTTTATTTTTTCAATTACTGGTACAGTTGACATTCAATGTTATATTAGTTATTAGCTTCTGATGTAAAGCATAGTTATTAGTTTCTGGTGTAAATCATACTTTACAACATGTCCTCCCCCCACCCCTCAATATTTTCGGTACCCACCTGTCACCATACACAGTTATTACAATATTATTGACTATATTCCCTATCCTGTACTTTATTATTTTATAACTACCCATCTGTACTTCTTAATAGTAACCAGTTACTATTTTGTAACTACCCATCCGTACTTCTTAATCCAACATGGAACTTTTTAATCTCTTCGATACCTTGTGAATGCTGAGAGTGGGTACGAAGTGATAACTTTGTCTTATTATGGCTGCATATCCACACTACATCCAGGTGGTTGTAATGTGATCCCACAGAATTATAAAATGAAAGTGGAACAAAAACTCTTCTGCTTGTGAGTTAATTTTTCACTATTGAAATACTCATTCCTTCAGACTTTGGCTCAAAGAGGTAAGTTTTATAACACTGCCTGTATTTCTCACTCTGTCTCATCTCTCTATAATCAGCTGAACAAGAAGGCATGGGATTTTTCCTTTTCTTGTCTGGGCATAATATCATAAATTTCTCCCAGACACAATAGTAGATGCTCACTTGCTTGGGGTTGCAATAATTGACAATATATAGAGAAATAGAGACAAGTTAATATTATAGGGGAACCTAAATATGGAAATACTTCCCATGTTCACTTGACAAATGTAGACCTTTTCACAGTTTTCATCACTGTTAATCTCAACCTCTATTAAATTCCTGACTCCCCCCAAACCCTTCTCACACACGGAAAGATTAAGCCACCTTTAATTGTGTTCACTTTTAGTGTGTATTAAAAAGTCAGGAACTACTGTTACACAGAGGAGAATCAGGCATCTTGAAGTCCCTCTTATCCCTTTCTCTTGCCTTCATGAGGTAGAGCAGTAAAACTGCTTCTAGGCTTTCTCTAAGGGCAGGCCAGTCCCCTTTCCTATATCTCTCATGGCAATGGCCTCTGGCCTCAGACCATGAGAGACATACCCATAGTTGAAAAAGTTGAATGCATTCATTATTGCTGTGAGGCTGAACACACATCACGGGGAACTATTGTATGTTATCAGTAAGTGGGTGTTAAAAAATCACATGCAGGATTTGGGCTTTGATTGTGTGATTTCATGGAGGGCTAACAAAATGGAGGTTTACTCTATATTGTAGGAAACATTTTAGAATAGCAGCTCAATAAATCTTTATAGGGAGGAGAGACTAGAACAAGAATAAGTCTGTAATTGGTGAAAAGGTGGTAGCCACTTATTTTAGCTAGAATGGCAAGGATTTGGCATTTTTTGGTTGGCACAGTGACTTTATTTTTGTCTATGCTTAGTCAAAATTAAGTGGCTTTACTTTGTCACATTTAATTGTAGTCCTAGAGTAACCTGGTCTGAGGCTGTTCTATGAGATGGTTTATGTCCAATAAGATAATAACATGGCCGAGCTATGAATATCAGGCCAGCTTCCTGATGTCAGGGACTCATTTTTATATTTCTTTCTCTTTCACCCCTTCTCAGCGAGGTAATTTGAGACTATCAATTTTCCCATAGCTTGTGGTATGATGAAAGTATGTTTTATTTGGGTTTAGACTGGCATAAAGGCCCTTTAGGCCTTGGAGTAGCCATTAGTTTCAGCTCACATACCAGAGAGTCCTGTACTAGGGTTTAGGACACAAGTATAACAAAAATAGAATTTTACCTTAATTCTTTTTGCAGCTTTTCTTAAAAACATAATTCAAACAGTCCTGGAGGAGTTTTGAGGTCATTATTAGGCCTTGTTATATTTTTGATATTTTCAAGGAATATACTAAATATGTAAATATAATAAAATTTCATTTGGGGGCATGCAATTTATAGTGCAAATTACAGTATTTAGTATTATATATCATATGGCATAGAGATCAGTCTTTGAAGCCAGTCTGCTTGGATTTAAATTCCAATTCTGTAACTAATTAGTTGGGTGACCTTGTGCAAGTCACTTTATGTGTCTTTTTATATCTTGAAAGACAGGGTAATTATTGTGAACTACCTCATAGATTATTATGAAAATCAAATTAAGTTATATAAAGTGCTTTTAAATATGTAAAACACATAGGTGCTGATAGGTGTATCTATCTTTATTATTTTTATTATTAAATTTAAATCTGTAAAATACTCAAAACTGTGTGATATAAAAAGACTACAGTAAATTCTTATTGAATTATTAATAAAAACTGAAAGCTTATACTATCTATTTTAGTAACAGACTCCCACAGATTTTTGCTAATATTTAGAAGGGCTAAGTGGCAAGTTTAGATGCAGTACTTAATTTACTGACAAGCCTGGTTAATGAAGGGGAAAATATAGTTACTAAGTATGGTGTTACTTCCTCACCTTCCCAATACATTCAATAGCTTTATAGCTGTGTATATCAAAGTCAACACTCATCACAGGCCATTTGTTCACTGGCCAATAAATGAATCATTAAATTCAAATATTTTGAAACCAGGAAAAAATAGAATATAGAAACTAAAAATCACATGAAATTATATATCAACCATAGGTATGTAGCAGATTTGATTTTTTACACACAGATATATGCAACATATAGGTGATTATTTTAAAGCAGATAATCTTTTAAAATATAGCCCAGCCAAGTGTCGGGAAGTGGTTGAGCATCAACCTATGAATCAGAAGGGCAAAGTTTAATTCCTGGTCAGGGCACATGCAAGAATTGTGGCTCAATCCCCAGTAAGGGGGGCAAGGGTGCAGGAGGCAGCTAATCAATTATTCTCTCTGGTCATTAATGTTTTTATCTCTCTCTCCTGCTCCCTTCCTCTCTAAAATAAATAAAAATATATTTTAAAAAATAAAAGAAATATAGTCCCAGCTGGGTGGCTCAACTGGTTGGAGTGTCATCCTATACACTAAAAGGTGGCAATTTGACTCCCAGGTTGCAGGCTTGAGGATCACATGGGAGGCAACCGATTGATGTTTCTATCTCACATCGATGTTTCTCTCTCTCTCCCTCCCTCTCTCTAAAAATCATTAGAAAACAAAGATGTGTAAAGAATACTTTTCTATGG